TATATATATCCCTCACTCGTGCAAGTTACAGGGTATTACAGTTAAGAAAAAAAGAATAACATCGAACTTTAATGATAGCTTGCAATTGAAGCTGTGCGTGCGAGTGAGAGCGCATGAAGCGGAAGAGGGCACACCTATTGGTCGTATATGGCGCTATTTAGTGCTGCATTTGTTGTCACATGAAACGCACTGCGGAAAACTGAACAAAATGAAAGGGGGCACACACTAACAGTGTAAGTGTGAGTGTGTGGGAGTGTGTGTGTGTGTGTACTCGGGTTAGAAACTTGCAACTTGCTTATCAAAGCTGCAGCAACGTGGACAGTGGGTGTTGAATGCGTTCAGTTAAGCGGGCTCCGAGCTTTGACTTCTATTTCCATTTCTACAATTCGTGTGTTCAGACTTGTAATTTGCGCATATGCTGTGCTCACTATAGAGTTTGGTATTTGCCTCTTTTTCCCTTTTAGATTTTGTATTTGTGTGAGCTTTCCAATCATTGCAGCACTAATTGAAATAGGCTGAGCTGAGAATTGAGAGAAATCGTACAATCAAATAAATAAGTTTATAAATTGAGTGCGGATTTTCTTCTTTTGAGTTTGTTGAACTAAACTCATATCTGAAGACTTGTTATGGTCAAAGTTTTCAAAAAGCCTGATGCAAATTAGGGATAATTGTTAACTTGACTTCATTGACTTCATAATGATTTAATAATTTCTTATGTGACGTTACTTTACTATCTTTATCATTATCTTTCTTGGTTAACTATCGCCTTTCTATGTGAATTTCATAAATTTACTTTAAAAATTTTCCATAACAATTTTAGGTTACTTTACATTTTATCCTGTATTTCAAAATTATAAATAAGTATAAATTTCCATAATCTTGCACATCTATTTAAGTGCTAAAATATTTATTATGCTCTTTTTCAAGCTCTGTAATTTAATATTTAATTTTGGTTTTCAAGTTCGGTAACTAATTATTAATTTTATGTATAATAAACTTGAATTTCTCAGCTTTGTTGATATTTTGCACTCTTTGATTTTGCCTTAAGCCAAAAAGTTTACTCAGTATTATTGGTACAAGCGCTGCACAATTTACAGCAAGTAAAAGCGCCAAAACTTTTCACATATATTGCAGGGATTTTATTTTGCTATCTTCTTTGTGGCTTCCTTGCACATAAATACGCTGATTAGTTTTTTTGTTTTCTATTTTTAGTTAACGATAAATTTGTAAACAGCTCATCGGTTTAGACTTTTAGAATAATATATTTACATACATATATTCTTTTGTTGAATTTATAGACGCACAAAAATTTGGAGTCAATTTTGCTTTTTCGATTTGGCTGGCTCTCAGTTAATGACTTTGATAAGTTGGCTCATTTTGACAGCAAAACTTTGTAGACGAAATGCATTTGAATGTGACATTAAAAGCTGATCAAAAGTTAAGCAACCAAAGCGAAAACTGCGGGTCAAACACCTCAAAGTATTGTGCAAAACTCTGGCAAAAAAAGAAAAAACAAACAAACAAACAAAACCCGCTGGCTAAACGGAGGCAGGATGCTGAGATGGGTTTGGGGCGGCTCTTGTGTTGGTGTGGCCAAAGTGTTGCCAAATAACGAGGGTGCCACTGAGAGTGTTGCCTTATAAGTGTTGCCACAGAAGTGACAACCAGACACGCATACACAGAGTGAGGGAGAGGGAGAGGAAGAGAGAGATTGTGTGTATGTATGTAAGTGGGGAACTGAGCTGGAGAACCACTTCAGACCGAGACACGCGACCGCCGGCAGGACCGCAATGACCTGACCAGAAAAACTGCTCGCCAGCTGATGACTGGAGGACGACTGGCGACTGGCGACTGGCGACTGTCAACGCCGCAACCAACACCAACAGGCGATCCGAGTGGACCCTGGACCCACTCTGTTCACTTTTTGACTGGCCATCCTTGTCTTGCAGCCATTTCAACTTTGGAATTTCAATAAGGTTCTGGATGTAGTCGAGCGAAAATGCCGCAGGTGCTGGTAGGCATAAAAGGGTCACGGGGAGCGGGTAGCGGGCAGCGGAAAATGTAAAAGTAAAGCAAATAAGCCAAAAAGTAAATACATAAATTAAAAGTGTTAAGGCGCGTAATGTTCAATGCGTGAATTCAATGGAATTGTGTGCTTAACAACTGAATATTTGAGGTAAATAGCGTCAGGCAGCACAGTTTTCATTCCACAATTGAAAATCAATCGTTCGGCATATTTAATGTTGACAATTTAAATGGCTAAAGTTAAGTTGATTTAATAGCTGCTAGAAAAGCACTTGAGAAAATGTTACGCTATTAATTATATTAATTATATACATACATTTTTAATATACCACAGTAGTTATTTTACTATTATTTATTCATTATATGCTTTCTATTATATTTTTATGCATATTTAATGTTGACAATTTAAATGGCTAAAGT